CTGGTAGCCATTTCCTTCTCAGCACACAATATCAACAAAAATGACCAGAAGTGATTTATTAATAAGTTGATCATCCCATATTCATGTCCTGATGCCAGAGAAAAATTGAATCATTTAAAGTCTATAAATTTGCAATAATACCAATAATTTTAAAAATTTAAAGTGAGTAATAAAATATTTAGGTAAGATCAGAGCAATTTCTTTTTTGATCTTTTAATCTGTAAAGGTTAGAAATACTAGCCTAATGTGATCCCACTTGTGGATAAGATGTTGTTAGAAATTTATACAAGTGCAGTGGTAGAGTTATAATGACTGATCTATTAGTTTCCTTGTATGATTATAACCATGTATCACAAACTTAATGCTTATTAACAGCAGAATTTGTCTTGTCATAATTTTGGAGGCCAATTGTTCCAAATCCACAGGCAGGATCATATTTGCCATGTCACCTCTAGGCAAATCCTTCATTCTTACTCCCATTCCCAGTTTTTGAGAGAATCTCTGGTGCTCCTTCCTGCACATGCATAATCCCAGTCTGTGTCCGTCTTCATAGGAATTTCTTTCCCTGTTTGTTGTCTTCTCAGAATTTCTTCCTTATAAGCATTTCAGCAGGATGAGTCTGGAGGTCACCTTATTCTACTGCACTCTCATCTTAACTGATGTGTGGATGACACTGTTTAAATGGAGACTTATCCTGTGTAATGGGGCTATAGTTTTAATATACCTTCCTAGTGAGAAATTTTCTACACACATCATGATAGAAGAAATTCATTTCTAAAATTTGGAATTTTTAATATTTTGAAGTGGTATGCTGATATTTGCATGTAAATGTCTGAAACTAGAGCACTAGCTCCTACTCTGTGCAAAAACAAAATCAAAATTGATCAAGGACCTAAATGTCAAACTACAAACCTTGAAACTAACTATTACAGGAATGTATAGGGAAAGCCTTCCAAAATATAATCATAGGAAAGAATTCCTGTATTTACTACCAAAAGCCCAGAAAATAGAGCAGGAATTGACATGTGTGCTTATATCAGCTTAGAGGAATCTGCACAGCAAATAAACAATAAACAAGAAGGTTAATCCTGCAGAATGGGAGAATTTTTCAGCCAGATATTCAGTGTCAGATTATCAATATCTAGAATATAATGAGAACTCAAAAATAAAAGTAATGCAATCAAAAAATGGGCATGTGAACTGAACAGACAATTCAGAAATGAAGATTGCAAATGAACAAGAAAGACATGAAAAAACTATTCAACATACTCAGCCATAAGAGAAATTTAATCCAAGCAACAATGATATTACACCTCATGCCAATCAGCATGGAAATCATCAAGAAATCAATCATCAAGAAAATAAATATCAAAACAAGCCAGTGAGGAAGTGAAGGGGAGAATTCTCATTTACTGCTTGTGAGAACTTGAATGAGGGAGGACACAATGAAATTCACCAGAGTGATTCTCCAAAAATTCAAAACAGAACTCCTATATGACCCAGACATACGTCCTCTGGGTACATACAAAAAGTCAGTTTATGACAGCACCCCTCATAATAGCCAAATTATGAGTTCAGCCTTGATGCCCATTGGTGGATAAATGGATAAAAAAAATGTGGTCTGTGTATACAGTTGGCTTTTACTCAGCCATTATAATGAAAGAAATAATATCATTTGTTCAGAAATAGATGAAATTGGTGATCATCCTGTTAGGTGAAATAAGCCAGTTGCACAAGGACAAATAACACGTTTCTTCCATTTGTAAATGTTAGGAGATACCAAAAGCAGAAAGTGAATAAGGTGTTAAAAATAAAGCATGGACTAGGATAAAGATAAAAGGGAAAAGGAGAATAGAGAACAGGTAGGGGAATTAGATCAATGGAGGGGTAAAATATATATTTTTTATATGAAAAAGTCACAATTGAAGCCTCTGATATATAGAATTAATACATACCAATAAAAAAATAACAAAATTGGAAAGCAACTTTTAATATTTTATTATATTATATTTTTATTATATCAAAATTATTTTATTAAATTTTATTTACCTTTTATTTTATTAAAATTCACCTAAAAATCAGTTTTAGTGACATACAAAGGGAGATCCCTGCACTTTGCTGTTAGGTGGACGAAAGAACATTGCTACATTTTGTTCTCTGGACAATGTGTGCTGACTTCAGTACTCAGATCTCTTCCAGCTATTAATGTTGGGTGGGAAAATAAATAATCCAATTTTATTGGTTATGGGACACCTTCACTTAAGGACTCAAATGGACTAGATTTCAAGTCAGGAGTGTGCTTTTACCTTTATGTGTATGGATAATCGATATTCAGATTCCTGAGAGCACAGTGTCTGGTCTGTTTATACTCAGGTTCAACCACACACATGTTAGGTCTTGACCCTGAAACTACATAAAACACTGTGCTGAACTGCTGCAAAGAAGCAAACAGTAGCAATCATTCTTGTGCTCAGGTTTGGCCACTAAGAAGGTCATTGTAGATTTGTCCCCATGAAGGTAGCAGAGAAACCAGGGGCCATCCACAAGTGTATAAGGCTTGTGTTATAAAATGGTGTTCTGGGCACATGCCATTGATTTTTCTGAAATAAAACTGGGTAGTGAACTTTGCTGAGTACTCTGGTTCTGGAGCCGAGTGAGAGTGACTGTTTCTAGGGAATACTCAGTGAGTGCTCATATGTCACCATGGTATGAGAACTGGATTTTGATATGAAACTCAAACATACTACGAATGAAGAAGGAAGACAGAGGGTAAATCTAAATTCTCTATTACTCTGTATTGTAAGTAAGGAGAAATGGAAGAATACGTGAGAGGTCATGATGAGAACATTGGAAGATTTCCTTGTATTTTGTGTGAGATGGATATTTTAATGGGTCTTTGTTTCCTACTGAGTTCAAAGCATGGAGTTGGGGTGTTTGTGTGGAATATTATGCCAATATGAGTACTTCACAATTCCCTTCCACCATATGATCCGAGCTCTGGGAGCTGTTTCATCATCAGAGGGAGACTGCCAGAGGGAGTTTGATGAGGATTTGCCTGTGAGAGGAAGCACCTGCTCTTCCATTGTTCGTAGATAAGTGACAAACTGTCTAGGGTCAAATGAATTTGAAACAATTTAGCTTCCTTAAGTTTTTTGAAAAAGACCACAGTGCCCTCTGGATGTCTCTGGCTCTAAAGGAGTATGGTAAATACTGTTCAAGAAGTGACTGATTCAATTTTATGACATTGCCATTGTTTTCTCCATGCCATGTCACCTTCATTTTGTTGGCCCAACTATAGATTAGAGAGAGGAGTTTCTTAGTTGTCTTTTTTGTATTTCTCCTGAACCAGTCTCAGAACCAGTTCTACTGAACCACCCTTTGTGGACCAATTTGCATCCATGTTTAAAATGTCCACTCACTGTAGAATGCATTTTAGTAACATTCACTCAGTTTCAAGATGCATAAATTTTGCAATTACACATTTATTAGGCTTGATGCACTATGTGATGCTGTATGGCAAAACCTTACTCTTGGATGTAAAATGGCAGAGGCTAAATTCTTGCTCATCCAGCTTTTCCACTGCATGTGATGCCTGCTGACTCCCAACACGATCAATTTTATCTCTTATTAAAGTCAATAAACACTCTGAGGTATAATTCTGGAAAGGCTGGAAGAAAGAATGGTGAAGAGAACAATCTGCAAAACTGCTCTCTACCTTATTTTACATAAATACAGTAGGGTAAGGATATTAAATCTTACAGTAAAATGCTTCCTACATGAAAGGGGGTGGGCCTTGTTCTGTTGGTGATACTGGGATCTAAATTTCTTGAATAAAATGCATGTCAAATAAAACCATGGTGGAGATACTTCACTTCCATTGGAGAGGAAATAAATTCATGGCTTTGATAGGCAAGGTTTGACACTGTTGTCAATGTTTCTATCATGCTGACTATATTGACATATAGGACTTCAGACATTGCAGATGTGTAAGTCAGCAGTGTCTCAACCAACCCTCCTGTCTGTGAACACATTCCCTTGGATGGCAAAACTGTCTCATCCCATCTGGTTCTTAAGCCAGCCTTAAACTCTCTTTTAGTCATTCAGCAGTGCCCCCTTCCACCAAAAACATATTGAATCTGACATCTTACAGTAACCCACATCCCTAAAATTTATCCTCTTCTTTGGTCATCTTCTCTGTAGAATCTAGGCTTAGTTCAGGAATTTTAATCAGACCACTCATTCTTCTAAACCCTTTGGACAATCCTCTAATCATGCAACTACAGTCTCTTCCCTTTTCCCTGTGAAAGCATGTTTTTGTTATTGGTATACTAACCTGACTTACTTCCTTCTCCCCCAAAACTGCCAGCTTCATGAATTTCTGATCAATATAAGAAAACAAAATTTTTTTTTAATGATTAAATTTGGTACAGATTTAGAAAGGAGGAGACCTTACTCTCTAAAATATTCACTGGAATGGGATGAAACCCAAATTTGGGGCAAAACAAACAAGATTTGCTGCCTCATTAGGCCATAGTTTGGGTGCTGAACAGGAAAGTCTCATCAATGGGCTGATGGCAGCTCTTTCAATCACTTCCCCTTTGGCCTGGACATCATGTCAGCATTGTTGTTAGACATTAAAAATCATTCTCAGTCACTGCCTAGAGCCCTGAGGTGCTCCGGGCAGTCATGTTCATCAAATGAGAGTTTGAGAAAGGCAACAGCTTTCCAAGACCTTGGAAATAATATTGTCTTTAATGCTCACTTTATTTTCTCTGAAGCAGTAGAACTGGGAAGATCTGACATATAATGCCCTTATTCTCATGTTACCCCACATGCTCTGTACAATTTGGACTTCAGTTTCTATCTCACAGTGTAATTTAATGGTCAATCCTGGGAATCCAGTCTCCCTGATGGACACTCCTTTGAATGAAGCATTGAAGGATGTTCAAAGGGGAGACAGAACAGTAACCTCCATCTAGAACAATAGGAATTTTGCCTTTTCATTGTCTCCATGACAGAACGAAATCTTCTCCTATCACTGTGACTCTAGTATTTGGTAAAGGAAGTGTTAGAGGTCTGAGTATATCCTTATTAGTATATAACATGATAATGACAGCACAGGTAGGAGATAAGGTGGAAAACCCAAGTGATGAGTGCAAGTAAGACATTAAGAGCTCTAAATACCTGGACTTCAGCCTGATAGAGCTGAGTCACAGCTGAATAAAAGTCAGGTTTTTAGAAATCCCACCTACCAGCACAATGAGGAGGTAAATGAGTCATACTTCTGTGAATAATACTCATGTGGTAAAGAATCTGATCCATCAGCAACACAGAGGTGACCAAGGGATTTGATGTGCTTTAGTTAGAGAAAAAGGAATCCACATGTGGAGGGTGTGGCCAGAGAAGTGCTGTATGTGCTAAGCCCTTGGTCCTCAATCAGAGAGAAAGAGGACCAGGATGTGTTGAGAGCTGAGCAACTGGTTTTGGATTCTTAAAGGTTCTCATCCAGGAAAACCTGATCACTGTGAGAAAACAGAACCATGCATTCTTGCCAAGAGATAAATTTGAGTGAAAAATTTGAGAAGATGAAACCATATTCTATCAAACATTATTCCTGGAGTTGTCCTGAAATTCTGGCTTTTTTTCAAAACATCTAGTATTAATCAGTTGACATAATCAAGGCCTGCATGCTACACAGAGAAACAAAATCACCGAACAGACAATAGGTTCTGTATGAGTTCCTCTGCCTGGAGAACAATTTGAGCAAGTATGTTGGTTCCCAAATATGTCATCATAATCAGTCTGTATCCCACAGATACAGAGAGATGCTGTGTTTTCTGACCTGGAATGTGACCTGTCCACATAATTAAGGCTTGTGGGGCACCACCTGAAATCTGATTCTACAAAGACACACACCTTTTCCCACCATTGCTCCTGCTTCTAGTTTGGATGATTTTTGATTCTCTATACCACAGACCAGGACACTGGTGAAGGCTGAGGCAGCACAGATTGGGCCTAGGTCCATGAATGTCAGAAGAAAAACAGGGAGAGAGGAGAGTCAGTGGAAAGCAGCATGTCTATTTTGTGGTATCCTTTCAGTCATTTTCTAGGCATCTGTGCAGAAAATAAGAAGGGTGAGATAGACAAAGAGGGAAGCTCACCTCACTGTGGAAGACCCAGTACAGTTCTGCATCCTGATGACCCTCACCTCTTTCTGGGTCCCAAGTTTATCTTATTTCCAATGCAGAAGGATTTAAGATAGGAGCACTTCATGCAAACCAGTGACTTCTCTGAATGTTTAAGACCCAGTGTGGGGCCTGATTATGAGCTCTACTTGGAAAGTCATTCCGGGAGAAGACAGACCTGGGTTGAGGGCAGAATTGTAGATCTCAAGAATTTGTGAGTACATACCAGCTTGGCCTCCTTGAGTCAGCTATCAACCATTGTGATCAGTGACCTGACATGCCTGCCTCAGCATCCCTGCCACTGAAATCACATGCATTGTTTTCTTCCCTGTTCTGTTCACCATGTCCTTCCATGATGTAACTAAATTTCTCGTCACCTCAGAGCCCTGTAAAATTTGAGTGACTTTTTTCACATAACAGGACTGTGCAAGCTCTGTGTGAGCACAGAATGAGAACCTGCCCTGATATCTGTATTGGAAAAGAGACTGGGGGAATGGTGTGAACCATATATTCCCAGAATATCAGAGAGGCAGAGGCTGAAGAAGGAAGTGCATGACAGAATACAATGTCCTTATTAATCATATGATTTCTCCAAAAAGTTAAGGGACAACTCCAGGCCCATGTCTGGCACACAGCCCCATTCCTACCATGGGGTACCTTTTTGCACTCCCTAGATTCTGTGTGTCTCCCCAACGTGTCTCAGTAGAAAGTCTCCAGTTATGCTTTGCCCCAATTAGGCACCTGGTTCTCCTGTTCTCTGACCCCCTTCATAATATCATAAGTTATGCAATGGCATTTTCTTTTTGCTTAATCCTGGGATATCAAAATTCATAAAAAATGTCCTTGCAGAGATCACACAATGCATAAAGCTGAGCCAACTGAAATGTCTGACCTGTCTAGAACAATCAAAGTTGAACTTTCTTATCATGGCAGCCCCTGGCCATCCGTGAAGTATCCCTTTTATGGTACTAATCATTAATATCTGAAAATATCAAATTTTATTCTCATGATTCATCATGGGCAGATTCTGATACTGTTTCCACAAAATTGTGATGGATGTTCTTTTCATAATCTTGAAAATGGCCTTCGCATTTGTTAGGTAATATTCTCTTAAATCCTATCCCACAACACTTTTCACAAGTGTTGTCTTGAGGGATTGCTGAATAAGACATGGCAGAATTCAGGGCTTCACAAGCATAACAACATACAGGAAAGCATTGGAAGATATCTGTCCTGGAGGCTCTTGGGAGATGCTGTCAATTAGGTTAGATATTGAGTTAGACTACATTACATTTTTTGTTCTTCTTTTCCTTATATACTACAATGTATTTCAGTATCATCACAATCTCAATCAATTGGCATGGGTGGGGAGATGAGTCTTAGGAATTTGTGAAATTCAGCAGGTTGTGCACCCAAAAGTAACCTCATTAGTGTGCCTAATAAAGTGTTTTTGAAGATTCAATATTGGGCTGGCAAAATGTCTCAAGTGACCAAAGTGTCTGCCTAGCAAGCGTGAGGCTGTGAGTTCAAGTGACAAAGTCTACAACAATAACAAAAATACTCAATATTTTCAGAGGCCCAATAAAATACATTCATTTCTTTCAGAATCAGAATTAAGATGTATGTAATTCAGGTGGGATCTTATTTATCTTTGAACTGCTAGAATGAGAAAAAGTGTTTTATTATTCATCTATTATAGAATAAGAGCCTTCAAAGTCACGTGTGCTCAGATTCATGAAGTCTTGATGTGCCTTCTGGAGTATTAAGTACAATTCACCACATCATGGAATTGTGCCCAAAAAAAAGTATGCATAGTGAAATAAACCAGAATTTAAGGATTGTATGCTGTGTGATCCCATTTGTAAGTCTTAGGCAGTGGAAACCAATCAACTGAGAATGAGCAGCAGCTGCTGGATGTTCACCCTACTGGAGAAGAGGAAGGTTTCTTGTCTCACTTCCTTATAGAACTGAAGCACTGTGCGAGCATGAGGTTATCATCATAGGACTGACAGTAATAATCAGCCTCATCTTCAGGCTGGAGCCCAGTGATGGTCAGTGTGGCTGAGTTGCCAGACTTGGAGCCAGAGAAGCGATCAGGGATCCCTGATGGTCGATTGTTATTATTATAGATGAGAAGCTTGGGGGAGCTTCCTTGGAGTTGTTGGTACCAGTTCACATAATTGCTACCAATGTTACTGCTGCTTCCAGCACAGGAGATGGTTACTTTCTGTCCAGGGTTCCCAGACACTGAGGATGGCTGAGTCAACACAGATTGTGCCCAGGATCCTGAAAGGGAAAACAGATAGTAATTTGGGTCAATATGGAGGAAATAGCAGTGACCCATTTTTTTCAGGCTTACCCATATCCCATGTCCAGTCACCTGTGCAGTATGGAGAGCATGATTAAAGAGGACAAGGTCATGATGGAGTTCTTCTGGAGTCCTTCTGTGCCTCAGAGTTGGACAGAGCTCCCTCAAGTCTTCCCCTTGCCTTTGTTCATTCTCTGGAAGTGGGGCGTACCCACTTATGCAAATGTGGATTCTCTATTATTTTGCTCACATTCTGAGGCTCTGATTTGAAGATATCACTGTGCTATGTAGGGGTGTAGTGGATGGCTTTGTTGTTGAGGGAGTCAGTGTGTAGCCCTGGGAGGATGACTTAAGGCAGGGCCACATAGCTCATTCCAGATCTCATCACCCCAGCAAATTCAATAACATTCTTCATGTGCTCTTTTGGTCTGGGTCATGTACTCTGCATTTCACAATGGTGATAAAGACCCTCAGAGGCAGTCTGCCTTCCTAATGATGTCTTTATACATATTAACTCAAACTTGCTTATGGTGTCCCTCTGTAGACTCACTCTGACCTCAAACATCTTTATCTTTTTGCTATACACAGACTGCTCAGAGGAAAAATCTTTTCACAGCCAACTTAAATTCTCATTGATCCTGACTGACATGATGTGTCCTGGGCAAATTCCTTTCAGATAGGATGGAGGAGACAAACATGGAGGTTTTGGTGTTAATAATAAGAAGTTGGCATGGGCCAGTGAAAGCTTGATTGAAATGTCTTGCACATTTATAGTAAATACTGTATTTTGAAATGGTTTTTGACAAAGATTTACTGTTATTTTGATCTCCTCATAATGTTTCAGAAGGAAAATATATTTGATACTAATATGTATATTTACACTGTGCTTTTTTTTATTTTTTATAATCTTCTCTGCTGAGATGAGCCAAAATGAACCTGCCTTATCTCCTGTGTCTGAAGATTGAATTATCATTCAGTACACATATTTCATTTATTGATTTCTGGATTTCCCAAGACATAGTACATATTTGGTTTTCTTTGTTCTTTTGTTTCTTTGTTCTATAGTGTACTCAAATGAACATTGGTTTTTTAATATTGTTTATTAGTTTTAAAGTGTATGGACTGTAGAAGTGAGTATATAACATATTACTCAATAATGACAGAACAACCTGTGGAAATCTGTGGAGAACCCAATCCAGTGGATTCAGGTATGTCTATTCAGGACTCACAACAAGTAGACTTATGCCCTGAGGGGCTGAGTCACAACTGACTGAAAGTCAGGCTCACGCTGACCCTGCCTATCATTAGAAATCAGGAAACAACAGTGACAACACATCTCTGACCAAGACCCATGAGGTTGATAATCACAGCAGTGACCAGGAATTGTTCTGAGCTGCAGCTTAGTGTCATTCAAAAGAGTGTTTCCACATGAAGTGTGTGGCAAAATTAGAGGTTCTTGTGCATAGTCCCTGTGTTTAATCCTCACCTGAGGAGAAAGAAAGAAGAGGAAACAAGAATGTTGGGAAGCTGAGCCTGAGTTTTAGTTTCTTATGACCTATTTCCTCTGTGCTTCTGGGAAGTCAGATTATATACTTATTTTTCTGTTTGTTCATCTTCTGAGGATATTGAATTTCAGATGAATGTGTTTTGGATGAGAGGGCGTGGCTTGTTTTAAGATGATGTTGGTATTGATATCTCTTAGATAAAGGACATGCCAAATAAATATAAAATGGACTTACTTTTGTTCTCATGGAGAAGATTAAAATTCCTGTGGCTTTGTTGAGGCTTGTTAATGTTTTCCTCACAGTGATGATGATGATTGTGATTAAAGCAGTTCAGATATTGCAGATGTGAAATCAGCTCAAGTTCTCAAACCAATATACTTTTCTATGAGCTCATTCCCTGGGGTGGAGAATACTTTCAACTGCCAACTTCTCAAGCCAGGCTTGAACTCTTTCTTTATCCCACAAAAATGTTGAATCCAAATTCTTCCAATGACCTGGCTCCCTACTTTCCCCGTTCATCTTTTATCATCTATTCTACAGCATCTGGAGTTTTCTTTAGGAACCCAATTCATATACTCACTCTTTCATGTCAGGCCTTTGGAGGCTCCTATATCCACCCAATCACATCTTTTTACTCTGTGATAACTTGTTTTTGTTATTGGCATATTCACTTGATTTTCTTCTCTCTTATAAAAAGCAGTGTCTGCTAAAGAGAATATCATTGTTCCTGTCTTGTCCACACTATGTTCTGAGACTTGACTCCAGGCTCTGGCACAGAGTGAGTGTTCAGTAAATGATGTGGCTGGATGGAGTATTTTGAGTCAATCATTCTCATCCAGATCATGAGTGCTTTGGCCCTGGCTTTGTTCTGATACGGCATGTGCTCTGTCCCTGGACAGGCTGATGCTGGCATGTGTTGCTGCCTGTGGTTAAATTTGGACACATATTTTGAGAGCATGAGAATTTATTCTCAAGCTCATGCTCCCTAACATGGGTCTGAAACCCTACTTTTAGAAAAACAAACAAAACACAAACAAAGAATCAAGGTAAGCCATCTGACAGCCAAGGCCTGGGTTCTGTATTGAGCAGCAACATCACTGTGCAGATGGCAGTTCCTCTATCACTTCCCCACTGCTTCAGCATTATGTGAATGCTGATGTTTGCACTCCAAAGTAGGCAGTAACAGTCACCTTCACGCTCTGTCTAGAGCCTGAAGATGCTCAGGAATGTCACGTTCCTTGACCAGTGTTTTGACAATTGTGTTGACATTCCTGAGGATTGAATCTGCAAATATTCGTGAGGAGAGTGGAGACTCTGCCTGGGGCTGCTGGCACCAGAACAAATACCTGCATGCAACATTGCTGTTGTTCCCAGAGAAGGCTTTGTGAATGTCTGCCCTATACTCATGGATATTGCAAAGAGATGAATCGGCACAGACTGGGTTACAGATGGTGAGCAGTAAGCAAGAAGTGAAGTTCAATGGTCAGGAACACATATATGTTTTCCTAAGCATTCACTGCCAGTGCAGTGATAAGAAGTGATAGAAAGTGTTGAGTCCAGGCCATGGTAAAGAATGCTCTATGTTCTGCATTTTGAGGAACCTCAGCTGGTCCTGAGCTCTGCAAGTTTCTCCTACTCACTCCAGCAACAAGACGTGAGGGAGGAAATTTCATGCAAACCAAGCATCTCCCTATGATGTACGAACACTCCCTGTGCTATGAATATTGGACTCTCTTGAAAATCTAATATTGGAAATATTGAACCTCATGGGTGTGAGTTTTGCTGGGTGTCCCTGGGGGCAAGTGAGGACACAGTTTCTAAGAGTCAACAATCATGAGATCAATAGTACCAGAACAGGGTAGAGAGGATGCTACCAGGAAGGATGTACAGCAGAGGACCACAGTGAAAGGCAACAGTACCCCCAGCTTTCCAAGGCTCAGAAACATTATATTGTCAACTATCCACTTTATACTTTGTGAATGGATGAAGGTGGAAGTTCTCATAATTGATTTCCTTAGTCTAATGTCTCCACACAGATGTAATTGTCTGAAGTTCCTATCCCTCTCACAGTGTGGTTTAAAAATCAATCCTGGGATCTCAATCTCCCTGATAGACACTCCTGGGGAGGAAGCAATGCAGATCTACAGAGCAGAAACAAAACAGTCACCTTCATCCAGAGCACTGGGAACTCCTCCATCCTTCATTAACCAAACAGACCAAAACTGTTGCCTTCACTGTTAGGACCTTTACTTGGGTTCCAGACTCTCACTTTGCATCTCAATATTTTTCTCAGTCCATTACTGACTTAGATTTTAAAGGAGAGAAAAGAAAGTTGTAAATAACATATTTTCTAATTTCTGGCATAAATTCTGGAACTTGATGCTTAATTACAACAGAATGGGTCTTGTCAAAGTTTTGGAGGCCAATTTTTCCAAATCCACAGGCAGGATCATATTTCCCATGTCTCTTCTATGCAAATTCTTATTCTTACTTCCAGGTTCCCAGTTTTTGAGAGGAGTCTCTGGTGCTCCTTCCTGCACTTGCATCGGTCCACACTGTGTATTCATCTCCATATGAATTTCTTTCCCTGTCTTCATCTCTTCTCAGAGTTTCTTCCTTATGAGCATATCAGGCTTGATGGGTCTGGGGGCCACCTTATTCCACTGCAGTCTGATCATAACTGATGATGTGAGGATGACAGTGTTTAAATGGGGTCTCATCCTGTGTAATGGGAGCTACCATTTTAATATACCTTCCTAGGGAGAAATGCTTCTACACAAAATCTTATAGAAGAAATTCATTTCTAAAATGTTAATAATTTTTAATATTTTCAAGTGGTATAATGGATATTTGCATGTAGATGTCTGAAACTAGAGCACTAGCTCCTACCGTGTAAAAAATAAAATAAAAATTGATCAAGGACCTAAATGCCAAACTATAAAATTTGAAACTTCTACAGAAATGTATAGGGAAATCCCTCCAAACTGTAAACATAGGAAAGAATTCCTGTATATGCTACCAAAAGCCCAGGAAATAGACCAAGTATTGACATGTGTGATTATATCAACTTAGAAGACTTCTGCACAGCAAACAAATAATAAACAATAAACAACGTGAAGATTAATCCTGCAGAAAGGGAGAAAATGTTAGCCAGATATTATGTATCAGGTTATTAATATCCAGAACATATAACAAACTCAAAAAAAAATTCAATGAATAAATGGGCATATGAACTGAACAGAAATTCTGAAATGAAGATTGAATAGAGAAGAAACTCATGAAAAAAATATTCAACACACTTAGCTATCAGAGAAATTTAAGCTAAAGAACATTGATATTTCCATTCATGCCAATCAGTATGGCTATCATCAAGAAAACAAGTATCAAAACATGCTGGTGAGGATGTGGAAGGGGGAATTCTCATTTACTCCTTGTGAGAACTTGAATTAGGGAGGATATAATGAAAGTCACCATGGAGGTTAAAAATATTTTATTTTATTAACAATAAAACTCCTTTGTGACCCAAACATAACACTTCTGGTACATACATAAAGTCAGTTTATCACAGCACTTTTCATAATAGTCAAATTATGGAACGGCCTAGAATCCTATTGATGGATGAATGGATATAGAAAATTTAATGTATGTATACAGTTTGGTTTTACTCAGCCATTATAAAGAAAGAAATACCATTTGTTCAGAAATGGATGGAATTGGTGACCATCATGTTAGGTGAAATAAACCAGTCGCACAAGGACAAATATCACATGCTTTCTTTCATTTGTAAATGTTAGGGGAAATCAAAGGCAGAAAGTAAACAAATTCTAAAAATAAAGCATAGACTAGGTTAAAGATAGAAGGGAAAGGGAGAATAGAGATGAGGTAGGGGAATTAGAACAATGGAGGGGTAAATATGATCAAAGTACCTTGTAGACCTGTATGAAAAAGTCACAATAGAAGCCCCAGATATATAGAATTAATATGCAGCAGTAAAAAATAACAAAATTGAAAAGCAGCTTTGCTACTTTATTTTATTATATTTATGTCAAAATTCTTTAGTTAGATTAAATTTTATTTAATTTTATATATTAAAATTCACATAATAAAATGAATCTTAGGGACATTCAAATGGAGATATTTGCCCTTTGCTCTTAGATGGATAAAAGAACACTCCTGGATATTGTTCTCTGGACAAAATGTGGTGACATTAGTACTCAGATCTGATCCACCTCTTAATGTTGTGTTGGGAAAATAAATAATCCAATTTTGTTGGTTATGGGACACCTCCACTTAAGGACTCAAACAGGACTAGATGTCAAGTCAGGACTTTGCTTTTACTTTCTATATATGGATAATTGATATTAAGCTATCTGAGAGCCACAGACAAGGTCATTGTAGATTTGTCCCCACAAAGAGAGGCAGAGACACCAGTAGGCATCCAGAAATGTATATGGCTTGCCTTTTAAAATGGTGTTCTGGGCACATGCCCCTGATTTTCTGGAATAAGAATGGGTAGTGAACATTCCTGAGTAATCTGGTCCTTGAGCCTCAGTGAGAGTGGCTGTTCCTCCTGAGGACATAATCGGTGAGTGCTCATCAGTCACCATGTCTGAGAACTGAATCTTGATACCAAATTCAAACATGCTAGGAATGAAGAAGGGAAACAGAGGGTAAATCTAAAATTTCTATTACTCTGAGTTGTAAGTAAGGAGAAATGGAAGAACAGGTGACCAGCCATGATGTGAACACTGGAAGCTTTCATTGTATTTTGTGTGATCTGGGTATTCTAATAGGTCTTTGTTTCCTACTGAGTTCAAATCATGGAGTTGGGGTGTTTGTGTGGAATATTATGCCAATATGAGTACTTCACAATTCCTTTACACCATATTATTTCAATCTCTGAGTGCAGTTCCATCATCAGAGAGAGACTGCCAGAGGCAATTTGATAAAGATTTGCCTGTGAGAGGAAGCACCTGCTCTAACATTGTTCACAGATAACTGAGAAACTATCCAGGGTCAAATGAATTTGAAACAATTTAGCTTCCTTCAGTTTTCTGAAAATGACCACAGTGCCCTCTGGAGGTCTCTGGGTCTAATGGAGTATGGCAAATACTGTTGAAAATGAGACTGATTAATTTTGATGAAATTGCCATTATTTTCTCCAGGCAACGTCACATTCATTTTCTCTTCTTTGCTCATTACACTTCATGTATATTTTGTCTAGTTTGTGTTGAAATCCTTCCCAATTGTATGTCATTCAGTAATAGTGTCACATGCTCTTATTTATATCTAAACATTTTGAATGAACAAAAGAAATTATTTCCATGACAATGAAGTTATTGACTTATGAAGTTATTACTTTTGGGTTTCATGTTAGATGTACATCTGACATATATGAGCATTGTTTTATTTATTTACTCTAGATAGTGTGAAAAAGGTAACTAGTACAGGACTGAGAGCTGAAGTTTGTTACTCCCAGTTCAGTTTAGAATAAAGTAAGTCACATAGCTGGTCAACAACGTTTACATGATAAAGCATCAGAAAAAAGTTTGTACTCCAATTTCCAGTGAATGTTTCCTGTGTGCTATACTCTATTTGTGGGGACCCACATTGTCACCAGGAGAGGTTAACACTGTTTGTGAGTTCAACTAGAAAGGGCACATGCCTTGAGAAGTGAATATGGGAGACTTTCCTCCACTGAAGATGTTCCATCTTGTTTTACATACTAATATAGGATCTATCCTGTAAAACAAGCCTTGTCCATATGAAAAGAATGTGCACAGCACTATTGACAATAGTCAAATCATGCAATCAGCCTAGGTGCTAATCAGTGGAGAAGAGATGACAAAAAGTTGGTATATGTACACATTAGCCTTTTTACTCAATCATAAAGATCAATGAATTTATATCATTTGCTGAAAAAGGAAAGAACTAGAGATTATCATGTCAAGTGAAATTAGAATATGCCTAGGCTTTTGTGGTTGAAGTGAAATGACAGTCTCAGTAGCAATGATATCAGTGAGGACACTGTTGGCCCAACTATAGATGAGAGAGAGGAGTTTCCCACTTGTGTTTTTCGTATTTCCCCCAACCCCATTTCAGAACCAGCTGTCCTGAGCCAACTTTTGGACCAATTTGCATCCATATTCTAAAATGTCCACTTACTGTAGAATGCATTTTAGTAACATCCACTCTATTTCAAGATGCATAATTTTAGTAATTCTAAGCTTTATCAGGCAAGATACTCTACGTGATGCTGTGTGACTAAACCTCACTCTGGGATGTAAAATGGCAAAAGCTAAATTCTTGCTCACCCAGCTTGTCCATTGCATGTGATGCCTGCTGACTCCCCACATGATCATTTCCATTCTCTTATTAAGTCAATAAACAAATCACTCTCAGGTATAATTCTGGAGAGGATGGGAGGAAGAAAGGTGAAGAGAATAATCTCCAAACTGCTTTCTATCTTATTTTACATAAAACACAGGCTTCCTTTAATTACATTTTACTGGTGAATGTTACTCACCAGTATAGGAAGCACATCAACTATATTCACCTACTTTAC